AACGCATCACTCAAATCAAGAAATATTTTACCATTCAACTATTTACTTCGTGTAGAATCAGTACTGAAAGTATTGTCGAAGGGTTCATGTGCACTTTAACAGGCAGCACACTAACCAACCAAGTCACACTTGGTCCTTAAAACAAGTGTGTGAGGTCACTGAGGATCAAACTATGGACCACTTGCTTAGCAGGCAGCACTCTAACTAACCAAGCCACACTTGCTCCTTGAAACAAGTGTGTGTGAGGTCACTGAGGATCAAACTATGGACCTCTTGCTTAGCAGGCAGCACACTAACCAACCAACCTATGCCTGCTCCTTAAAACAAGTGTCTGAGGTCACTGACGGTCGATTTTGAACTATTTTTCTTAGCAACTGAGCCCAGATGTAAACCAATAACAATGATTCAGTTTTCACTAACGTTAAGATATTAAAAAGTATTATTTGATGTCTATCAGGATGAAGATGATCTGTTGGGACAGCCTGAAGCTACTGCGGATGTAAAAGCTGTTAACCAAGAAAAAGAGACTGCATGGGAGAGAGGCATAAGACTTGCTAAAGAGGTCAGTTTTAGAACCAGGTTATCGATTAACTAACCTGAGCAACACCCTAAGGACTTCTGCACAGAAGGCTAATCTAATACAGATAGATGTGCATGGTAGTTTATAGAGGCTTTGCACCATCATGGTCTTTTCATCACATAGCATATTTGAGTTCAATCCTACTTTTTTAGAGTGTTTGAAGCAGTAAAAAGCTCAGAAAAGAAAAATCTGAATTAAGTCAAGTGTTCATGGTTCGAGTATCTTCACTGTAAGAGTTGTGTGCATACACTTCTTTCAATAAAGTTAGTCACCCGAAAAGCTATAAAGCTGAGGCCGACAAGGATTATGGGTAGATTCATTTTACATGTTCAACCGCTTGATAACTGTTCATGGACTTGCCAATCTTTTACCGGTTACAGTCTCACCTCTTCTGAGCATTACGAGCTGCAGTTTGTATTAAAAAAGCTTTGTATATATATGCTTCCTTGATATGAAAAGTTTCCCATGATGCATAGTGATCTTAGCTTTCTAGGTTTTTGGTGACTAACTTTATTGAAATAAGTGTATAATATTGAGTGTAGTGGTAATGTGTGTGACAAACTGTTTCGACCCACTCTAATAAAAGGATTTTCACCACCATCTTTATAACAATAACCAACTTTTTTCCGTATCATATTCCCAGAACAAGAAAGCTGCCTTACTTCGCAAAAAGGAGGACACAGACTTTGAACAGAAGCGTATGTTGCTAAGCATCAGCGTTGATGCCGAGGATGAAGAAGGCAACAAGGAAAACCAGGCCAAGAAACAAGAAACTAGAGATCGAAGCAAAAAAGATGATGATGGTCGAGGACCTAGGTCATCCAGATGGAGAGATAGTAAAGAATCTTCACGGTATTATAATGTGAGTAAACGAAGGAAAGGGAGGGATGAATGAATGAATGGATGGATGGATGAATGGGATGGATGAATAAATGGGATGGATGGATGAATGAATGGAAGGGATGATTGAATAAATGGGAGTTATGATTGAATGAGTGGAAGGGAAGAATGAATCTGGGGGATGGATGAATAAATGGGATGGATGAATAAATGGGATGGATGAATGGGAGGGATGATTGGATGAATGGGAGAGATGAATGAATGAATGTGAGGGATGGATGAATGAATGGAAGGGATGAATAAATGAATGGGAGGGATGATTGAATGAATGGGAGGGATGAATGGGAGGAATAAATGGATGGATGAATGAACGGGAGGGATGAATGGGAGGAATAAATGGATGGATGAATGAATGGGAGGTTTGGGTAAATAAATAGGAAGGATTGATTATTGAATGGGAGGGATGGATGAATGTATAAATGGGATGAATGAATGGAAGCGAGAAAATACGAGACATCGACGGATGAATATATGGGAAATGAATGAAATGTATGTTGGATAACCATTATTGAGACGATTCAACTAGTTTGTATTAATTTAAACATTGTTGTCTGTCATAGGATAGAGACAAGAAAAAGAGAAGATCAAGACGATCGCCGTCTTCGTCGCCAGAAAGGTATTACTTGTCATACCACACAAGACAATGACATGTCAATCGAACCGTTTTTATCACAAAAATGAAAAGTAAACAGTGCGCATTATGGACGCGGATTGCAGGGCTGCAGCCGCTTAGAAAACCAATCAGATTGCTTAGTCCTAACCTCGACTAGCTTGTCAAATAATATAATCAAGCTATTGATGTTTAATGTTGTCTTTTTATCTCAGAAGCAAATACGATCGTCGCCGGGATGAGAAAGACAGCTCAAAAACTAGTGACAAAGAACAGGATATTGGCAAGAGACTAGACAAAGATCGCCCCAGGAAATCCAAAACTGACGAACTGAAGAAAGAAAGAAAAGATAAAGATATTTCATCGACTGAAAGGCGATCAAAAGAACCTTCTGTATCGAGCACTAAAGATGTCGAGCCAAATTCTAAAGAAAAGCTAAAGAAAAAGGTCTCGAAGGACAGCGAAAACGAGTTGAATCAAGAAGAGACCGGAGAAGGGGAGAAGTCGAAGGGTAAGGGTTTTTTAAGTATCTCCAATAATCGATTGGCTAACGATGATTGGCACGATCCATGGCAACGGRCCACGTCACCCAAACGACGCTCTCCACGCAGACGTTCAACTACGTCATCATACTCTTCACGCAGTAGAAGTAGATCTTCGTCATCGTCATCTGCTTCGTCACGCTCTTCAAGATCTAGGTCGCGCACTCCGTCGTCTACGGGATCAGAGTCACGCTCGTCGTCACGGTCTGTCAGCAGATCTCCTAGTCGCAGTCCGTCACAAACGCCATCGGGCACGTCATCCAGGTCGATGTCACGCTCAGAAACACCTTCATCACAGAGCGATCGATCGAGTACATCTAGCCGTGGTAGCTCCAGGAAAGATCGATACGTAAGGATATAATCTTTTCTCGTATAAATATACCAGCTCTCTTAGCGGCAGCCATGTTTATTCCCACGAGATGGACATCCCCATTGTTTTTGTCCGCGTAAAGAGCTACAATACGACGAAGACTGTTGTTTTAACTCTGTTGAAAAAAAATGTTGTTTCAGTCAACACGAATGCCGCGTGAGAAAGACTCCTTCTAACTCCAGTATTTTCCCGCTAATTTAATGAGCATGCGCAAATTGGTTATCCGAATTCCCAAATTTGCAAAGAGCACGCGTTCTCTGTTTCCCGCCATTTTATCTGAGCATATTCATAACCTTATTTAAAGTGCTACTATGACGAAAATCGCTCAAACTTGGATTCAGCAGAAATAAACTACAAAGAAATATATGTAGCAATGTTCGATGTTGAGTGTATGACGTCACAGACTCCAAAAAATAATCGTAAAAATATCACTTTCGTCCTGAATATCGAGAAAACAMTTCATACAGTGATTATTGGACCTTTAAAGAGTATTCTTAGGAAGTTTCAGCTGAATCCAAGTTTGAGCGATTTTCGTCATAGTAGCATTTTAATTTAATTTGTTTTAAATTGAATTGAAGCAATTGTAAAACGATTAATTTCATCAATTCCATTTTCAGCCCTCCAAGACGGACAGCAACAAAGCTTCCAGTAGGAATCAAACCTTGTCACCATCAGGTTCTGGCTCTGAATCGCATTCCGACTCAGAATCCGACTCAGACCGACCTCACTCTCCCATCGTATCTCCATCTCCATCTCCACACCCACCATCCCCTCCACCACCTCCACGCTCTCCTTCAACACGGGTCCCTCGGGGATCAGCCGGGGCACCAACTGATCGTAGTGGTAGTAGATACAGGAAAGACCGTTATGACGTGGAACACAAGTACAGACAGTCACATGTGATGGGATGGGATAGAAGGAATAGAGGTTCATGGCACGACCCTTATGGGTATGTAGCATGCGCAAATGATTTTTTAACACGGCTCTTAGGAAGAGCATTTTGTATGATGAGACATCCGTGTTTAAATAAAGATTATGTATGTATGTATGTATGTGTGTAGGAACAAAGTATCCTTTATGAATTTGTTTATGAATGGAAAAAAAAAGAAGGGCAAATTTCTAACAGTCGTTCTCAATAGCACACTCGGGATCGTACCATCTGCCTTCACCTTTTGGTTGGATTTCATTGTCGAAAAACAACATTTTTTGAAGTGCACGCGCAAATGGAATGCCATGTGCTGAGCTACGTAACTCTAGTCAAAGGAGGCGAAAATTGTTACATCAGAGGAAGGGCCATTATTTTTCGTGGTTTTTTAATATGACAATTCTCTTATTTTTTTAGTCGAGGTGGTCGCGTTAGTCCTAGGAAAGAACGAGATCGAGATCGCGATAGAAGACGTCGATCAAGAACCCCACCAGGCAGACGGGTATGCGGCTAGATACTGTACACCTAATTCAAACAACGTTGTCGGTCGGAGATCTGAAATGTCAATTTTAGACAAAAAAGAATTTTTGTACTTTTATGTTTTCAAGGTAAAATACGAAAAATGAGATTTCTAACTCGAAGGAATGGCACATATTCCAGTCTAAGAGAAAACTATGATGTTGGGCTGGGAATAGATTACAATTTGCAGCTTGCTACTCGGTCTCAAATTTCAGATTTCAGACCGTCGCCAACAACGTTTTTTGAAATAGGTATATATTCATATGAGTTTAAGATTTTCCAGTTTTCTTGTTTATACCGAACCATTTTGTAAATGCTTTTTGACGCCATATATACTTCACGATGTTTTTTTAGGATGCGGATCAAAGAAGAGCTTTGGAAGAAGCTTCTCAACAAAGGTGAGATGGTCATGACAATAATAATATTTGTGCTGCACTATTTTGTTACGCGTACCTGTTTTGCCCTTCCCTGCCCTGCCTCGTCTTTTCTCATCTCGCCTCCCTTCATCTCTCATTTCCCATTCCCACCTCCCTCCCCTCTTTCTCATTAGTGTAACATTTTACGTCGCGCCTTTCCAAAGGCAAATACAAGCCTTTTGAAATGGGCGAATTTATGATACTTGCACACATAGCGTTAGGTCAATTTCTAAAATTAACACTATCCATGTTTCCTGTTGATCACAGTCATAATGTAGATACCACATTGAGCAGCAATGGGCGAATTTATGATACGTGCACACATAGCGTCAGGTGCAATTTCTAAAATTAACACTATCCATGTTTCCTGTTGATCACAGTCATAATGCAGATAACACATTGAGCGGTAGACCCATGTCCTCGCGTGATCACTACCGTCGCGGTTCACACAGCGACAATGGTAGAACCAGCAGCGATGGTAGCAGTAACACTGCACAGGCTAAAAGTAGGAGTTCAAATATACCAAGTAATGACTCGTGGTCAGCCGAGAGACGGAAGCAGTCACAGTCAGTATGGATGGGCAGTGGTAGTGTTCGATATACGGGACATAAAGACATTAAACTCACACTTAATAAGGTATAGCATGATGTACAACAGCGAATTATTTTTATTGAAAAGCAATGGACTACTTCGACGATGCGGCAGCCATCTTGAAACGCAAGGCATTATGGGCATCCAGGGGGCAAATACACAAACCTTTGTTACAGTAATGACGTATTCCACAACTAAAGAATTTTCTCAAATATCGTGAGATCGTCATTTCAGCATATTTGTGTTGTTTTGCCCCCTGGGCGACCCATAATGCCTTGCGATTCAAAATGGCCGCCGCATCGTCAATGTAGTCCATTCTGTTGTGCGTGAGTTCTAATCCATGCTTACGGATGAATGGGCTAATGCCGGATTGGGCGATATCAAAAATATTGTAAGTTGCTGTTGATCGAACCGCTTATCAATATAGTATAAAGTACAAGTTTGAAGAGAAGTGGAAACAAGTGTGTGAGAGTACAGGGATGAAGTTGCGGTCCTCTTGTTTGGATGGCGACGGCGCACTTACAAACCAGCCTTTATTCTTGAGTGATTTTGGTCGTCTCTATTTCATCTTGGTCATTGTTTTCGAAAATCAGTCTAAGGGTCTTTATTTTGAGGCTCTTCTCTTACCAGTTGCCCAATGAATCCGAAACAAGAGCACTGAATCACTCCCTTTGCTATTGACGGAAAATAAATTGCTATTTTTACAGCCAAGCTTTAAGCAAACTTCCTTCGAGTTGCTACTGCCAAAAAAGTAGAGATGTCTTCATGAAAGCAAAGTTATGGTCATTTTAACAATGTTTTGTTTGTCTTTAGTCTGCAGGAAAGGCGCCGTCTAGTACMCAATCATCCTCGTCGAGGCAGCCCCAACACTCTCCCCCCAGGCAAGCAGAAGCAAGCAGTAGTAGTAGTGGCACAAACTCTAAAGATCCCGAGAAAAAGCGATGGGCTCGAGAACCTGAGTCATCTCAGCGGCATTCCAGTCCAAAAGATGACGTCACTTCCTCCCAAGCTGCTAGTAAACCAATCAAACGAGCCGCTGATAGTGTACTCACTCCAAGACACGTGGAAACGCAATCAAATAAGCGCAATATTGAAGAATCTACGTCAAAAAGAGCGGACGATAAGAGAATGGAATCCAGACCTCTCAAAAGATCCGCAGACAGTGCTGCGGCGAATACTAAACGAACACTTCCCGAAAACTTACCGATCAAACAGTCGCAGCGCGACTCAATCGAAACGCCTGATGCAAAGTCAAGCCATGCATCAAATACCTCGCGACGCGAAGAGCTTTTAAGAGAACTGAAAGCAGTAGAAGACGCTATAGCTAGAAAACGAGCACGTATAGAATAACATTAAACCAAATAATTGTGTATAAGTACCCTCGTATCGTAAATGTTTTATGTCTAACACGACCAATGAAAGCGCGCCCTTTTGTGCACGTGACTTCAAACACATCACTTTCGTTTGAGTATTGCTCGAGGAGTAAGCCTGGGCTTTAATAGTCGCTCCTCGACGAAGGTCAATTAATGTTTGTAAGTCATAGCGTGAACTACACATTCATGAAAATCAATTTTCAGTCAATATCGGAATGTTTCGTGACTTTTTCATTTTATTGATAAGAACTGTTATTTTTCCACATAGCTTGCATACCTTCAGGTTATGATGGTTTTGGAGATAAAATAATGCAGTATTCCTTAGTCAAATCACTCGCAAGCGAATCAAATGAGAGAAAAAACATGCCTACCATTTTGAATGACAAAAAATTAAAATATTTTGAGTGACACAAAAGGAATTTAAAAAATCTTTTTTCAAACTTATTCAATATGGCGGAGATAACGTTATATAAAAATCAGCAGCACGTTTAAAGAATCAAATTCACGAAAAAAATGAGGGAATCTGGTAAAGACCAGTACATGATCTACAAAATTTGAGTTTCGTCTTCATTTCCAACAAGTTATCTCCTAAACTAGATATTCAAACAGAAAAGATTGAAGGAAAGATTGCAAGTAACTGTTAATTATTTTAGAAGGGAAATTTCGTTTATAAGCTTCAAATCATTGCTTAGCCTGCGAATACAGCCGACTCACTTCGGCTCCCGTTTTCAAGCGCCTGAGAAAGACGAAGGTGGCCGAAGTGTGATGTACAGACAGTGTAAATAGATACAGTACTTCATTAGTAACATCCTTTATAGAAGCAAAACGGCTGGACAAAAAACTAAGTTACCACAGACGCACATAACGACAACACTGAAATCACGTAAAAATGAAAGAGAACTCGTGTAATTAAGCGAAAACGATGATAATTTTTAAATTCTGTTGCTTTGACAACGAACACTGTTAGTACAGTCTGTATGTAAGTAGTTCTGTTATCTAGAGAATATATCAACCTGTTACACGTTACTCTGTATATGACAAAATTTGAAATAAAAACGAAAGAAAAATGTCTGAGTAATTGGTATTTTTTCCCTAAGTATCTGAGGGATACTAAGTTTACTTCATGAAGAGAGTGAAGAGTATATTGGTCCTTCCGTATATTCGGTTCGGTTTCCATAGCAACGAAGTTACGGAACCAAGACGACAAATTAAAGCTGGAACGAAATTTCCTATTGCGAAGAGAATTGCAAGAAACAATCAAAATATTCATTCAGTTTAAAAGAATTTCACTGTGAAGTCGGACACAAAGAGTGCTCTCGACCAGTGCAAAGCTGCCAACGAGAAGAAGTCGTTAATAAATCATAAGTAAAGATGTACAAAGAAACACGACAGATATACTTTTTAACCCCAAAATAAGATCTCCAATTGTATTTATTAAATTTAGGTTGCATAGAGTATTATTGTTAGAATTTTCCTATTGACGTTTTCATTCGTGAACTTCCAAGTTTTCTCGAAGCACCTGTTTCTTTATCTATAAAACGACGCTTTTGATTGGTTGTTTCCTCGACCTAGCCAATCAAATGCATTGTTAGATAATAGAGTTCTAGTTTGTACGATGAATGCGTCAAGAGAGGTTGTAGTGAACATGGCGTCGAAAGAAGAAAGCGAAGAACTCCGAAAAAGAACTCGGGAAGTGCCTTCCTGGGCTCCTGGTCAACCAGATTACGATCCAAGGCTACCCTATGGACCTAAAGTGTACCTACCTCGGAAGAAAAAGCCCGATCCTTGGTGGGTCACGTCGATCGAGGTGAGAGTCGTTCTGTTTATCTTCCTTTCTCCACTTCTATTTCCAAGTTAAGGTTCAAATTAACTCTTATCACACGCTCTATTTTAGGTTTTTCTTTATCAACCACTACTAATCCCAAGGCTATTATGGATTTTTAGAATCAATAACGTACGAAATAATCCGCTTTATYGCGCAAGACGATGATTTAAAATTTTGAGCTCACATCATTCGACATATGTTTAGCACTCTCGAAAATCTCSGTTACTACCAAACCCAAAACACGATAGTATAGATCTGCTTGATCTATGGTGAGGTTTTTTTCCCATATTTTTTTAGAAGAATTGACAATTTCATGGTGTTTTGACCGATCGAACCAAAATACTTCCAGCACTAGAAGCCCGCATGATAAAGCTGATAGCCTTGTTAATAAATATTTAATCAGGTCGTGTCAAATTGAAATGTTTGACAACAAAGATTATTTTTTAGACGTTTTTTATGCAATAACTTATAAAATTTAAAAAAAAATTAAAATTGCATTGCATTGCTATATTTAAATCAATGATCTGAGCGGGTATTTCTTTAACTCATGCCCCCTCCCCTCCCCTCTACCGAGGGGCTGGCTTAAATAAGACTGAAATACTCTCATTAGCTAGCCCTTCCATCCCTTGGCAATGGCACCCCCACTTTATTGGGTAGTATGGATATTATCCTGAACTACATACCCTTGTTATGGATACTTTCTGGATATAAACAACATACCCTCCTCCATTCCTTCAATTCCTACCCCTTGGAAACGCCAGTCTTCATCTTTGAAACTGACCCCATGCAGACATTCTTCATAAAACTACCAAGTAATAGAGGCTTTGCACCATCACGTTATGGCAGCCATGACAGGAGGCACAACAATGGAGTCTCTCCCCCAGGGGAAACTGAATTCTTTCTCATATGTAAATCAGGTTAGACCAGATTCTATTGTTCCTGCCTCCTGTCATGGCTGCCATCACATAATGGCGCAAAGTCTCTATACTGAAGTTTATATTCCCATATTTATTGTTTAATATCTATCAAGTGGACTGTCAGTAGGCAAGGTCCGGAAGGTGTCCACTGACAATAATCTGAGGGATGATTGTATAGCATATTGATACAGGTATCTGTACGTACCTTTAGGTGTCGGTCGTCATAGGAGTCTTGCTGTTCTTCTTGTACATGTACTACTATATAGATCACCTTCATTTCCATGTCGTGCATGCTTATGCATATGCTGGAAGTTCCCATGCTCAGCATAATCTTGGCCATAAATATCTCAAAGGTATGAAATTGTTTTCAGCTGTATTGAAAAATCCAGTTATCGAGGAGGCTTTTCATAGGAGCTAAAATTAGTAAATTAGTAATACTGTAAGACCCTGTTATATGGCTTAAGGTGACTGCCTACTTTTGAACGTTCGATTTGAGYCCACGATGTGCGCGCTCTCAAAAACCGCTGAAAAGTGTACAAGATTTTATTGAAGAACCATACACCTTTTGAGGTTCAACAGGGCAAAACCCTCAAATTTTGCACGGGACTCTCTATTTTTCAGTAGCTCATTCGAAAAAACTCAAAGAATCTAGGTTATATCAACATTTTAGGAAAAGTTTAAATCAGTAATGCATGAAAAAATAGATTTTTGTAGGGATTTTTGTTCGACTTTATGAGATTTTTTAAGAGCACCGAAACTACAAAATATGACAAATCAATGTATCTCTTTGTCTTTTTGTCAAAAATATCCATGTATTATTGTAGAATGATTGACTAGCCTTCATTCGTGCAATCATATAGTCTGCAAATGACTATTATCTTATGAATCTTAATTTTCTCTAATCACTTCTGGTGGCGCAATTTTTACTCCAAAAGCTTGTGCGTAGGCTTCCATTAAATGCTGATTTTCTCGAAAACGAGCTTCAGACACCCTATTTTTCTTTCCAGATTTAGAATCAGCATTAAATTTCAATTCGAAAAATCGAAGTTTAAAAAAAAGTTTAAATCAATTTCCAAAAGTTAAGGCAGTCACCTTACTAAACTTCTTGTGACTAATAAAATGGGATTTTACTGTATGGGCTGCTAGCATTACTATAATATCCCTATGGGTATGGAAATTCTGCTGCCTTTTATTTGACCCAACAATTATAACATTTTTATAATCCTTTTAGGACATGGTACAAATAAAGATGAAGAAAAAGCGATGTACTGGTTCAGGTAATGTGAACAGAAATAGAAAAAATAAAATATCACTTTCTTGAAATATTACAACAATTTTCAATATTTAGGCCAAGTAAAAGAAAAATTTTCTCGTCAATTGTACACAGGGGGATCAGGGGGACTGGTCACTTTTTGTTTGCTCTGATTTTTCCAATAACAAAATAATAATTAAAAAAATCAAGTGGCCAAAAAAATTGGGTAAGGATGAGAAAAATTCTAATTTTTTTACTTGGCCTTATACCAATTTGGTAATTTTTGTAATAATAATATTATTGTGAGTTACACATTGGGAATTGTTTTTTTACAGCCACCAATTAATAAGGTTAAAAATACCAAAAGATTATTAATTATAACTATATAGTCTAATTAATCTTGTTGCAAGTTTGGCTCAATCTTTAGAGTTCTTATTCTGTAAACAGAGAAGCAGCAAAGAATGAACATCCACATGGTGCATACAATCTTGTCGCAGGGCACATTCAAGGATATAAGACTGATGTTGAAGAGCAGTAAGTATATATAACCACAAAATTTGTATGATAACATTTGTTATATGTTAATCATAAGCCATTGTGCAAAATAAAATTGAGTTGAGTTTACATTTTTAAGAGTGGACACTTTGAGCAGGACAACACTTACATAGTTGACAAAATATAATATGCCAGTCAAGAGAAAAATCAATCATATCAACCTCAGCCAATCACATTATTACATTCCTGTGAAAAGCTCATATAAGCTCAGTGCCATATTCGTGCCCTTAATTGCTATGACCTTGATGTTGTCTATATCTTTAATTGGCTGATTGTTTTCTTGTGCAATGTGAAACTGACCTTGGCATTCTGTGAYTGTGCCGTGTTCCGGGTATTTGATAGGATCTCAGTAAATTCTCATGCAATGTGATTGGTATGCCTTGGTCTGTCATGAGGTCTGTGTTTGTGCTGCGAATGCTGCTCTAATGGTGCACTGGTTAACTAAATTAGGTTTGATCTGCAAGACACAACTTTCTAAAGAAATATATTTTTGTTTTCTCTCGTAGTGAAATTGAACCTTTGTTGCAAATGGCAGCAGACAAGGGTGTTGACGAGGCAAAAAAGGCATTAAAAGATCTGTACCCACACAAATATTCCTGACAGCTATGAGCCTTAATAATAGTATCAAAATGAAAATATTTATGAAAGCTATATCAGCAAGTACATCTAGATGACTCACTGATCTGCAGCTGAACAAGACCATTGAAGGATTTTGTATTTCACGTACTTAGGCACACATACAGAGGTTGGGCTTCCTGTGGTACTGCATGTCTCATGTATCTAGAGTTTTGACAAAACAATATTGTATTGCTGCTGGAATTTTGACAATAGTGCTTGAATATCATTATTTATTGTCAAACATAAACACACTTACAAGATATTAGGATTTATTAAGTCTATTTATAGAAGAGCTTAGTGTCTTATTGAGCCATAATAATTAGTGTGCTAGATCTAGATGGACTGTGCAGGCACATTTTTTGTATTGATAATTACCACGTTATGACCTTCTCCAATCAGCTTTCTCTGTCTGTTCTTAAGGGCTGTTAATCATTTATTGTGGAGGAAGGAGAGGCTGGTTGGATGCGAAATAAGGAGGGGGGAATGGGGAGAGTGCTGAATTTTTTCCCATTCAATGGCAAGGCGAAGTTAAAGGAAGCAAATAATGGGTTGGGTGTGTTTTGGCACCCCAGGTTAAGCACGAACCCAGTTCCTTGGGTTCAGAGACAAAACACAAGCTGCACAGTCATTGGCATGCTCTAAAATATAATATAATTGTTGAATGAATAGCATCCTTGAGAGGGTACCACTTAGAGACCCAGGTGTCTGGGGAAGGGTGGCAAAACCCTTCTGCAACCTTCACAGCCTTCCTCCCTACAACAACACAGTAACATGATCATTATAATAAGTTATTTATATGTAAAAACATGATAAAAAGGGGGTAATGGTGCACAAATTGTACAAGCATGAAAAGATTATCAATAAAATATCACAAAAAATCTAATTATTATCAATATTCTTGTAATAAGAGCAAGTACTCCACACATAGACCCTTCATAATATGGTAACGTGACATTATATGCCATTTAATTAATTGGAAAAAGGAAGTTTAAGATTAAATTTTTCACATTGATAATTGGGAAATGTTTGTATTTCTATTTTTTTGTGCAACTTTCTTTGCTTTTTATTTTTTCAAATGTTTTTTTACTTTTTTTCTCTAACCCTAAGCCTTTTTCTTATGATAACAATGGGCCACCATACTTAACTGAGGAAGATATGAATTTGTGAATCCAAGTATTTTTGTGAAATTGTCGTAAAAAGATGTATGTGAAATACATGAAAACGAGGTTCARTGGGCATGTGATGCCCAGTAGCATACATTTCTTTGTTATAATACTTGGTTTCAAAAATTCATATCTTTACTATTATGTGAAAAATGTGAAAAATTTTTTTAAATCACAAACTCCTTTTTCCAATTAATCAAATATCTTATAATGTCATGCCACCATGAGAAGAGTGAATTGACCAGAAATACCCCAATATTCCCAAACCATTTCATAATGACTTACCCCTTCACCTCCCCCCCCTACTCTGAACCCCCCTTGAACCCCCTCCCCCAAGGAAGGTATTGGCCCCGCAGACAGCTTTCATCATTGACAGTTTTCACTGATAGATAAAACTGTTCAAATGTCTGTCTCTTGACAAGGTGGCATCTTTGTTGCGTGACAGGGCTGAGTGACAGTCAGGTGTAAACACAGGAATCCCAACAACATTCTGACATGCAATACAACATGGCCGACATGTTTTTTGGATCCTACTAGTGAAAAGGGAAATTTGTAGCCTGGAATATGCAGGAAGTGTTGTCAGTCATGTTGATATTTACAATATGATAATGATAATATAGTAATAATGACAACAATAGTTAGAACTGGTATCCAGATCTCCATCCTGTGAAAAACAAACGAAACCCAATACAAGCACCAATCAATGTTTTCAAAATGGCGGATGCATCGGCATTGAAGAAAATTGCTTGCCAAGCTATAGATAATCACGCTCAAGCCCTACGACAAATAAACAGGAAAATTTGGGAAAAACCGGAGCTAAGTAATCAAGAAATGTTTGCCCATGAAGTTCTAACGGATTTTCTAGAGAGCGAAGGATTCCAAGTGACACGTAAATGGACATTAGAGACGGCATTTGGTGGTCAAAGTGGCGGGGACAGTGGTCCTTGTATTGGTGTGATCTCTGAATACGATGCTCTACCAGAAGTAGGACATGCTTGTGGACATAACCTGATAGCTGAGTCTGGAATAGCTGCTGCTATAGGTATGGTTTTTGCATTATATTGTTTTTAAAAGTACACCCTTCGGTCCAGTTCCAAGGTCCCGTCATCTATGCACTCATATATGAAAACTATTCCCTTTGTTACAGGTATTAAAGCAGCTTTAGAAACGTCTGGTAACCAGCTTGGTAAGGTGCTTGTGATAGGAAGCCCTGCAGAGGAGCAAGGGGGTGGAAAACTATTGATGCTTGAGAATGGGTGCTTCAAAGATGTGGATTTCTGCATGATGGTCCATCCTACTCCATCTGATTCTACCATGCCATTAGTGCTGGCCAATCGAAGTTTCTATGTAACCTACAAGGGGTATGCAGCTCATGCAGCGGCATTTCCCTGGGAAGGCATTAATGCATTAGATGCTGCTGTTATGGCATACAATAGTGTGAGTGCCTTGAGGCAACAGATGAAACCAACCTGGCGAGTACATGGTGTGATTCTTGAGGGTGGAGTCAAACCCTATATCATCCCAGACAGATCTAGACTACACTTTGTTGTAAGGGCACCCAATGTAGAGGATTTAAACAGGTTGAGTGAGAAAGTAATTTATTGCTTCGAGGGTGCTGCAAGTGCTACTGGTAAGAAGCTAATTTATTTTCCCAAAAAGAAATTGTTTGGTCTTGAGGAGGGAAGAAAACCGGAGAAGAGCTTGCACTTAGCATACACTTTGCTATCCTCTTTATTTGTGTATCTAATCTTGATATACACCTAGCTATTTTAATAAACGTTGTCATCACCAAAGGCGATAGGTGATAGGTCATTCTGACATGAGAATGGTTTCGTTGAATACAAAGAACATTAAATCAGTCTCAACACTAAACACTAAGGTCCATGTTCTTGATGAGAATAAGAAGCAGAAACACRAGTCACTCCATCTATTCTTCGATCTTAGAACGACCTATTTCCTATTGCATATTGCCTATCGCCTTTGGCGATCCCTTTTTTTTGAAATATAGGTGTTTATATTATCCAACTATTCAAGTTAGAGAACAAATAACACAGGATAAAGCCTGGAGCAAGTACAAATGTCTCTAGGTTATTTTGTACGGTAAAAAAGCGGTTTTGAAAACAGGTTTTTAAGAATATTCGTTTTTTTTTTTTTGGAGGGGGAGGGAGTAAGCTCTCTATTAGGCATTTTAGGGTATAATACGAGTGGACAGTTTTTTTCTTTTTAAAAAAACAACTGTATTCCACCCAAAATGTCTAATAAGATCTATATACTTTGCTATTCATATCACAGGGTGCTCTTTAGAGATTAAAAAATCAGCAGGATATTTGGACTTGAAATCCAACATAACAATGGCCAGTTTATATCAAAAGAACACTGAGACACTTGGTATCCAGTTCCCTTCTCTTGCAGAACAAAAGGCGAAAGTCCTAGGTTCTACAGACATRGGTAACGTGTCGTATGTCATTCCTTCCATACATCCCATATATAGTATCGATAGTATGGCTGTCAATCATTCGTATGCATTCACTGCAGCAGCAGGTACTGATGTTGCACATGACAAGACTCTGATTGCTGCCAAAGCAATGGCTATGACAGCTGTAGATTTATTTTGTAGGCAAGACATCAGAGAACAAGCTAAGCAAGAGTTCAATGAGATTCACTGTAAACATTGACCAAGAGGTTGTTAACTAAGGTCGCAAATTTGTGACAATGAAATATCGAGGTATGGTATGGATAATACCTTTCAAAATTCGTGATTATTTACCCCTCATCCATTTATCCATCTCCATCCTTCCATCCATTCATTCATGTTTGCATTTATTCACCCACACATCCATTCATCCATGCATTCGTAAATTCATCCTATCCTTTCATTCTTCCATTCTTCTATTCTTCCATCCATACATCCATRCATCCATTTGTGCATTAATTTGTCCATGCATTCATTCATTAATTCATCCATCCTTCCCTCCCTCCTTGCATTTCATTCGTTCATTCATTCACTTTTCATTAAATGCTATATATATTTCTTTATTTGCCATCATACATCATACACATTTCACAGTAATACTAAAACTGATCTATCACTAAACACAAATATTCTTAAGTCATACTTTTCCACTAATTTTACAGTCTGCATTTTCCTTTAACCTTCGGCTGTTTTTTGTCCACCAAAAGATTGTCCAAAAATGAGTAGTACACTCGCTTGTATCCATCACTCCCCATTATCACTGCCTGTGGATAGACTTTCTCGACTTCTTGCGCAATCACTCCTTGTTCTTCACCGCGCATGCCCAGTGTTTGAGTTTTTTCATTCCATACCCACGTGACACCACGAAGGCCAATCTTCTCATACTCAGAGTCAGGGATGGTAGTGATGTTTTGCTTAAGGCGTTCGTCACTGAAGATAGCAGCGACTCCAGCTATTACTCCAAGAACCTTTACAACATTGTTTTTCTTCTTTTTAGCTTTTCTTTTTGCTCTTTCTATTTCTTCTAAATTCCTTTGTGCTTGTCGGCGAGATTCTTCTGCTCTTCGCGCCCTTTCTTCTTCCTCTCTTCTTTTTCTTTCTGCTGCTTCTCTATTTCGTCTTTCTTGTTCCATCCTCTGTCTCTGCCTCTCTTCCTCCCTTCTTCGTTCGGCTTCTATTTCTCGCTGTCTTCTCTCCTCTTCTTCTTTCTGTCTACGTTGCTCTTCCGCCTGTCTTTCTTTCTCTTCTGCCTTTTGCTTGCCATCAATCACATCATCAATCCATTCTCCTGCTCTTTCTCTCTCAGCCTCAAGTACACATTGCTCCGAAAATCCCTTCAGAACATCGCGCCTTTTAGCAATAATTGAACGATAATCAATTCGTTGTAAGGGCGTAATCAAACTATCAAATGCCGAATCACACAAAGTCTTTTCCATCATGGTGTAGGTATCCGAGAAAAGGACCCAGGAATTCTTGTTCAATGCTTCCACGAGTTTTTTCGCTAGTTCTTGGATCATTGGTCCATTCATCGTCGCTCCATTGATTGTTTCTTTAAAAGGCATGTTTTTCATGCTTTTGACAAGAGACATGACATCTTTCTTGTACGAACTGTCGTTCAAAGCCTCGAGTTCCCTTCCACTTTTCTGTAATTCTTTGTTGTACGAAATAGTACTAACATTCAATTTGTTATTCGAGAAATATTTCCTCAAAATTTCGCTCTTTTCGTCCTTGACGCCATACACAGTGTTCAAGATAAACTATTCAAGGGTTACTCCCTCTGGAGGGTCGAGAGACTCTCGCAGTACAACACGGAGGCCTGGAAAATGGATAACTTCAGGGTCACGCATTTGGTCACGCCATATCTCTTCCGTAAGGCGCGTCACGCGAAACAGAAAATCGCGGTTGTGATTTGTTACAGCTTCCTTTGCAAAGAGCATCAAACTTGAAGAAAGTAAAGTAGCAAAGATGCTAAACTGGTTTGTTTTTGCATCATCGCCAAGATTTGATCCTTCGACGTCCAGAAAGACCACAGACCCAGCGTCATCGCGAAGAACGGAAATCCAGACTCCACGCGTACATGCTGCCATTTCGTTACTAGTTTTGAAAACCTTCTCAATACCAGACTGACTTTCACCTTTCCAAAAGTGTCGCATCATATTAAGACTCGTTGACTTCCCAACTCTTGCGTCGCCAATTGCAGAGATGATTTTGATCGGAGCCTTGAGAGACGAAAGCTCTACCAACGCGTCAGAGTCGAGGAGAAAATTCTTGGTAAAATTGTCATACTTGAGCAACTGTTTCGAATCTTGTCCTTTGCATTGAAATGGCAAGAGAAAGATGAATAAGGCAGTGATTAAGCAGAAGATAGCCCGTCTTTCTCTCGTCACAGTCATCGTCATCGTCCTTGCTGTACTGTGCTGATGTTGTGAAGAAATGAACTGCCGCGTTGGCGATATTTAAGTCTCCCTCTGTGTCACCTGATCCATCCATTTTATCAAATAATCACCTTATTTTGGACACGGGGAATTTTGTGATGGAATTCTTAGAAATATCCACAACTCAGAAAATGAGCTGAGTAAATTCCAAGAATCGTCACTTGCCTGAAAAAAAAGAAAATACTTCCCCATATAAAAAAGTATCTATTCAAAGGCTCCAAATATTTTTAAACCCTTAAACTACCTCTGGGCTTATATAAAGTCAGGGGAGTCGGGTCGGATCAGCACAGATCCAATTGATATTCAGCGTGTTGGGTTTCATGAGGGAGAAAAACCAGAGAATTCGAAGAAAAATCATATTCGTGCAATGCTACAATTCAAATATACGAAGAAGTGTTTATTATTTTCTTTTTTTGTAGAATTAAATTTTAAATTCGTCTGGAAGTGGAAGAACCTCCTTAGCACTCGAGGATGTATAATTTATTCATAAAATCTAAGTTTTATTCAGTCACAGTGTATATCTATTGTATTATTTGTTATTCGATATATTTGTATAGAGATATATAACGTAAGATTTCATTCCTAAACTCGACTTGAATAGAAACACAAGGAGTAAATCCAAAAATGTCTTGGGGATAAGGTGAAGGGATTAGTATTGAAATAGTAAGTGGGCTACCTGTGTTTCACTTAATTATAAAAATTATAAATTCCTTCACAAAAGATGGTTAAAAGGGGAGCTTTATCTTTAGTCATAATTTTATCTGTGTCGCTTAATTTTATACTCGTTTAGCTATAAAACACGTTCTTCTTTTCGAAAGAGCGCTAGATAGTAATGCAATCGTCAGGGAAAATTCCCTGGTGATTCACGCGTGGATGGTGTGACAAAGGTCACCTTTCTTAATCCAGTTAGCGCTTGGCATGGGGAATCACCTTAATATTCCAAGAAAATGAGCAGGACTTTGACCTGAGTAACCTGCAGAATGATTGGTTGTATAAACGGTACTTTCCCTAGATATGGACCAATCCGAGAGCGACACGAGCAAAAAAATAGAGAGAAAATTGTCCTTAAAATCTTAGACATTCATACTCTTGTTTTATTGACATTGTGACCAGAATGGTAGTTATCAAAATCAGTATGTTTTGGGCTGCCTTTCTTTTTGTAATTTTCTCTTCTCATTCGAATGGCTTACCCAGCAATAAAGCCGTTCCACTATTGAGTTATAACGAAATAACGAAAAAATTCGAACTCAATTCGGCCGGAGTAGCCTTAATCAGCAGCTTGGCGAAGCCGATTCAAGTCACCTCGGCCGTTGGAGATGCACGGGTCGGGAAGTCCACGTCTTTAAACATGGTACATCATCTCTGGAATGAAACTAAAGACAATAACTTCAAGGAAATTTTTGAGACAGGCTCAACATTTGTGCCAGTGACTCGCGGTGTTTGGATTTCTGTCATTCACGGAAAAGAGAGAATGGAACGTGTGTTGTTGGACGTGGAGGGTACGGATCTGGGTAACGATGCCGTTACTGATCATCTTAGTATATTCACAGCCTTGATGTCATCGGGTATGACTTTTTTCATGAAGGACGCTGTCAAGACCCATGCAATTGACTTTCTTTACCGAGTTTCTCGTCTGAGCGAGCATATTTTCAAAGATGAAGCCATAAAGTATTTCCCTCGGTTGAGGGTGGTTTTAAGAGGAGCTCTTGACACCCCAGATGGAATAAGGATGGATGAGTATGTGAAAGACGCACTTATATCACCAACTTGGAAAGACGGGTCGGACGACAAGAGAAAAGCCATTGGTAAGCACTTCCCTCGTGACCACATCGAAGTGAGCACGATAGAAGCACTACAAAACAGGAAAATCTTTAAGAATTTTGACCTGTTGTCCAAAAATGCCGAGTACATGTTGTCCATTCATCAACTAGCAAACGACCTTAATAAGTTCCATATCAAGAAGACCTTGAGTGGAGGAATGATGGATGGAGCAACGCTTGCAGAGCTCGCGATAAAGCTAACGGAAACGATGAATTCCGGGAAATGGCTTGATTTTGGAAACGTTTACTTGATGGTAGAAAAGCATCTTTGTGACAGGCGCTACAAGGAAATCGTTCAGCCTCAAATCGGTGGTAATTCAACTTTGATTAAGCGTTTCCTAGAGGTTGGGTTTCTTAAATATGAACAAGAATGTGCACTAAAGGACTATGTGAACGCAACGAAATCGGAACTCAAGAGAATTGCAAACATGAAGGAGGAGCTAGAGGAGAAACAGCGAAAGCTTGAAAAAGAGACCAAGAAAAGAATAGAGGAGGAACAAAAAAGAATCAAAGCACAAGAAAATTTCGAACAAGAAAAAGAGAAAATGGAAAAAGAAGTTGACGAGGCCAAGAAAAATAGCGAAAATATCCAACAAGAGGCAAACAAATGGGGAGAAAAATATCGTGCGATGAACGCAGAAATTGAACGTCTGAACAACGAAGTAAAAAGAGCTTACAAGGAGTTAGAAGATATGCAGGACGATGGAGGATTCTTTGGCTTCTTGAGTTCTGTTGTTGACACTGTAATTAAGATCGTTCTAGAACCGGTAAGGCCACTTCTCGGGAACAATAATTAGTGAATATCTATAGCATGCTGCTATTTGAATCATTTTGTCTTTGCGCGGTGCACCCCCAGAATATATGATTTACTTTATTTTTATAAATGTTAAGACACTTGCTTTCTGATTGGCTTCTTGTCTGTGTTATGAGTCGATAAAGGGGTCATGATTTCGTAAGTGACTCCCGCGGTGAGTAGTTCTCACACAGGACGCCCAAGCAGGGTACCGGATTGTACTAATGATTTGTATAGACAAGTGAATACGTTAAGTAGTTTTTGTCATTAGCATACCATTTATTTGCACGTGTGTTCTCGTGGTCAATGGTAACTTATGTTAAGGGGCTATCAAAAAAATGAGGTTGTTTTGCAGGTATTCTGAGGAAGGGCAAGCGCAAAAAAGTATTAGGTTTGTTAAGGAATGGGGGAGGGGGGGGGGGGGGGGGGATATAACTCAGTGTGCAACCACACGACTCAAAATCTCTTGTGACATGAATCACGACGAAACAGCCACCTCGGTTGGTTGATCTAACGAGAGAAGCTATAATGAGGGATGCTTTGTCATCGTCAACCAAGATGATGGTTATGACGTATACATAACTTGTACATACTCTATATGCAGAGGGGGAAGTCTCCGGGCACGTGACAACAGACAAGAAAATAATTCATAATGGAAAGAATGCGTAAATGGTAGATTGATATCAAACAATCTCTTTTGCCATTTTTATTGGACATGAGTACTTTGATCAATACTATTTCATCTCGTGGGGTTCATGAGTTAATTTCACTAGTGAAGATAGACCGAGCAAATGGGAAAAAAAACGAAAACATACAACGAAAGATAAAGATACAAAACGGAAAGAAGCATGAAGGACTCCAGTAAAAGAAAGTAATAAGATATAAGAACATGCGTAATAGGTAAATTACGAGCCTTTGTATGATAATAAGATATAGGAGAGCTTTATAAACCATTCTGTTTCCAGCTCAGGGCCCTCTTTAGAGCATTTAAAACTTATAAAATGGAAGCTTATAAATATTTTTTTTAAAAGAAAATAAAACTCTTGATTCTAAAAAACCTTTTTCCACGAAACGGGAAAAAAACATGCTTGTCTCCAGTCCCAACCTAATAAATATAACACAGGGAGCCATTATTTTGAAATCATCTTTCAAAATGGCGGATGCATCGAGGTTAAAGAAAATTGCTTGCGAAGCCATAGATAATCACGCTCAAGCCCTCCGACAAATAAACAGGAAAATATGGGAAAAACCTGAACTAAGTTTTAAAGAATCATTTGCCCACGACGTTCTAACGGGTTTTCTAGAGAGCGAAGGATTCCAAGTGACACGTAAATGGACATTAGAGACGGCATTTGGTGGTCAAAGTGGCGGGGACAGTGGTCCTTGTATTG